AGCAACAATATCATCGATTTTGACCTCGGCGGGCGACAAGAGGCGCAGGAGACGCAACATGTCGAAGCTGTCGCCGGGACTCAAGGCGTTGATCAACGCGCCGTTTGCGAGGCCCGGGCCCTGCAAGGTCGTGAAAGGAGCGGCGGTTGTCGGGGATTTGTTTCGGGGCATTGCGAAGGAGGCGAGGGGGAGGGGGGTTGGGGCCAGGGCGTGGCTGGCGATATCTGTGAGTTTTTCTTTTTTTCTTCTCTTTTTATAGTCTTTGTTGATTCGTTTGAATGTGTGTGTTGGTGTTTGGTTGGGAGGGTGGGTGTTTGACCTCTAGTATAACATCCATATGGATGAGTGAATGAGTGGCTCATCATCAACACAGGCCGCTGCAACATTCACCCTTAATTCGCCTGATGCGCTCTCCATCCTCCACGGCATTGCCGCGGCCGAGCGAGGAGGCTCTCCAACAGCCCAAGTGCGCACCGCCGAGTTCATCCGCGAAGTCGGGCTCAAATGCATCTCCTTCAACGGCATCCCTCGCACCATCAACTGCCTCAACGCCTTCCACGCGTCGCTGCCTCGCGACATAACCTCCAAGCTAACCACAGAGCCCTCGAGGACGCTAAAAGCAGACAACGTCGAAGCTGTCAAAGCGAGGGGCAGAGGCCTGTGGGACTCGGTTTACGCGCCGTTTGAGGATAAGCTGGTGGGCAAGTTGGGGACGTCGCATCCGGATCTGCCTGTGGTGATATTAAACTGCCATTATGGGCCGCTGCTGAGTGATCCTGATGGGACGAGGGGCGTGGGGAGGGTTATGACGAGTCTTGTGGCGGTGGCGAGCTTGAGGGCGCAGACGGGGGTTGGGCCGCAGGTGCTTTCGCATGTGTTTGGGTTGAGGAAGGCTGTTGACGATGGCTCGTTTTGGGATGACTTGGTGGTGGAGGATGGGGGGGAGGAGGAGAGGGAGAGTGAGGAGGGCGTGAGATGGTTGGCTGGGGATGAGGGAGGCGAATGGATGCTGAAGACGGTGGATAGGATTGTGGAGGGATTGGGAGGAAGCAACTTTGCGGCGAAGCTGTGATTATGGGGATTAGGGTATATGGTTGTAATTGTTATGATGAATGTATGTGTATATGTGCATAGATGGGCAAATGGAATCTTGATGCCATCATATACAAGCAGGCCAGATGTGTTTTTTCTAATATCTTCTGGCATATATAAATTGCTACATCTTTTTATATACATTTATGCTGATGCTTCATGTCTAAAAAACATCTAGATGTCTCTCTTCCTCTTGTAGCGTCCGCATCACTCACGCCCAAATGCTGTAATATCCCAACCATGCGCCCCATATCCATAGAACGAACCCCCCCGATTCATCCAAAAATAAAAACTCCATGCTTGTGCCCACGGGTATATCCTTCCCCCTTCAATTATTCCCCCATTTTTCACAGCTTATTCCATAGTCACAATCTCATCTGCGACGGCAAATGTCGCGTCCGTCTTGCTCTTCACCTCGTCGACGGTGACGCCTGGCGCCAGCTCGGTGAGCGTCAAGGTGCCCTTTTCGCGGTCCACCTGGAAGACACACTATCACGCAAATAAACATTAGCATATTGTAAAACTTCTCGTCAACTTGGGGACAAGCATACCAAATCTGTAATGATGGTGCTCACGCAGCGCGCGCCAGTCAGTGGCAAGCTGCACTGCTGCACAATCTTGGACGATCCGTCCTTGCAGAGATGCTCCGTCGCGACAATGACTTTTGTGTTTTCGGGGTTGGCGACGAGGTCCATTGCGCCGCCCATGCCCTTGAAGAGCTTGCCTGGGATCATGAAGTTGGCGAGGTCTCCGGCAGCACTGACTTGGAGGGCCTGTGAAGAGTCAATTAGCTTTGTGATTGTCGTAGAAAACAGATTTATGTGTACTTACGCCGAGGATGGAAACATCGACGTGGCCGCCGCGGATCATGCCAAAGGACTCGGAAGAGTCAAAGGTCGAGGCGCCGGGCACAAAGGTGACGGTCTGCTTGCCAGCATTGACAAGATCACTATATAAACAAAAGTCCGTTAGCAACTGATACTCTTCATCCCATCACCCAGTAAAGAGAAGCAAAACTTACGGATCAACTTCCTCCAGCGTCGGGTGAGGCCCCATGCCCAACAGTCCATTCTCGCTCTGCAGCCACACCGTCCTCTCCTTGGGGATAAAGTTGGCCGACATGGTCGGAATACCAACGCCCAAGTTGACATAGTATCCCTCCTTGAGCTCTTTCGAGGCTCTCTTGGCAATGCGTCTCTTGCGCTCCAGCTTGCCATTCCCGGGGGCCTCTGCCTCGCCCTCGGGCTCCCTCAGCGTGAGCGTCTCGACCTGCTTCTCGACCGTCGCCTTGACGACTCTGTCCACGAAGATGCCGGGCAGATGCACGTCGTCGGGGTCGATTTCACCGACGGGGACAATGTTCTCGGCTTCGACAATGGTGAGCTTGGCTGCCTTGGCCATGAGGGGGCCGAATGCGCGGGTCGTGCGGCGGAAGACGCAGTTGCCGGCCGTGTCGGCCTTCCAGGCGCGGATGATGGCGACGTCGCCGGGGAGGGCGGTTTCCATCAGGTACAGCTTGCCGTTGAAGTCGCGGGTTTCTCGACGGTGGCCTTTTTCGAGGGGAGCGCCGCCGTCGGGGTTGTTGCGGACGGGGATCTCGCCATCTTGGAGGAGGGTGTCTGTTTGGCAGCGAGTTAGTTTTGCACACTCAATCATACAGAGTTGTCCGCATATCAAATGCAATAAGACGGCGTATTCAGGGACAAACTTACGAGCTCCTGTGGGGGTGTAAAACGCGGGAATGCCTGCTCCAGCCGCTCTCAAGCGCTCTGCCAGCGTTCCCTGAGGACACAGCTCAACAGCCAGCTGGCCATCAATGTATCCCTTCTCGAGCACCTTGTTGCCTCCGGTATACGACAGAATAAGGTTGCTGATCTGCCCAGACTCAGTTAGACTGGAGAGTCCACCGCGGCCTTCGAGACCGGCATTGTTGGAGACGGCTGTGAGGGAGTGCAGCGATTCGCGGCCTCGACGGTGCAACGCTTGGATGAGGGTTTCTAATTGTGAAAAAGAGTAGAAGGTGGTTAGTTTGTCATGCTCACATCACGTTACTTTAATCACTTTGTCTCGCCATAGCGTGGGCTTATACAGATTGAAGTCACACAACACATACCTGCAATACCACACAAGCCGAATCCAGAGCTGAGAACCGTCGATCCACTTTTTACATCCGCCACAGCGACATCGGCGTTGTCGTAAACCTTGGACTTTGGCCGGACTTGTGTCTGTGCCTGAGACAGGCGGATGGAAGTCGTTGAAAGGAGCCTCCTTGTCGATGGGCCGGTTCTTGAGGCTTGGAAGAGCTGCACCGAGACGGGCTTGATGAAGGATCGTCTGGTTGAGGCTCTGGGAAGGAAGAGTTTCGGATGCATTGGCCGAATTAGCGTCGCCATTGTGCAGGAAGCTAAAAAATAAGCAGTGAAAAAAATAAAATAAAAAAAACTCCGGTTACTATGCGAGGAGCGAGAGAGAGAGAGAGAGTTATAAAGCTCCTGATGCCTCGACTAATACAGCAGATGATGAAAAGAGACAATAAAAATCGAAAGAATGTGATTTGGATTACTGGCTAAGAAAACAATCTCATCGATCCAACAACCAACGATGGCCGAAACATTTCTTTATATCTTGTTCGGCTCGGCAACGCGAAGAGGCCCAAAACGGAAATCTGTCGGGGTTTGCCCCATGTCGGCCGGCCAGCCGGAAGCTACCGTGGTGGACCGAGCGAGTTGCCGGCGTTTATGACGTACCTGAGCAAGAGGCGAATTGAATTGAATTTGGAATGTGCGAGAAAATGGAAACGCTATCGGAGTCTACTTTTGGGATTCTGGAAACTTTGTGTGTGTGAAATCATAGGTTGAAGCTGTGGCGTGGAAGCTGTGTGTCACTAATAGTATTGTGCAGTTGCTGGTTTCAATGGTTGGTTCGTCGTCGTTTTTGTTGGTTGTCGATTGTTGGTGGAGAGTATACTCAATACTATTTTTGTCCGTCTTCATGGTAGCAAACACTTTACGTTGGACAGCCATACTTTACATATTCAAACGAGGTTCTCCTTGGCCCTAGGAAAATAGGGTATGTACCTGACCCCTTCGCCGCAAGACATCGCCGCAAGTTATCGCCACCCCATCGCCCCATATCTCCACATCCGCCTCGAAGAAACATCTGCATCAACAAGGGGTCCCCGTGTTCTCGCTTAGTACAGCTGTGTCACTGCGTATTCCAGCGTATTCCATAATAACAGGGCGTGCATATGTAAGCTTCCTTATCTGACTGCCGGCGGAATCTCCTCGGATGTCCTGCACAGTCCCACCTCCTTGCAATGCGTGCATGGGATGGAATATCCGCGGAAGACGACGGTGCTTAACCTACCAGCTAGTAGTTGCTAGTCCTCGTCTCAGCTTCGTGGTAATTGGACTACACAAGGCTTAGGAGCTGCGCCATGTTGGTTGTGAGTCTCCTCCAAAGCTAAACAGCGCACAGATGTTATCGCGTCGGTCAGTCGCTTGTAGATCGTAAAGGGCAAACTGGCTAAAATAGCCCGGCGCAGGCTTGAATACAATCAAGGGGCTTCTCCAAGTACAATCGAAGCTGAAATAAGTATCCGAGCCTATTCACTTATTGTATTTTCAGCACAGACTCTGTGGTCCTCACAGTGGTCATCTAGGCTAGAGCTCTGGTGTTGTGTTTGGTGTTAGTCGGGCTAGTTCACACATCAAGATGCGTTCCCTAGCTGTCAAGCAATTACTTGTTCCAGTTCCGTAGAAAGACCAATCGTTTCAATATTTTGCTAGCTGTTTTACTCTCTGCAGGATTTCCCCCTTCCCAGAGCAACCCACTGTATCGGCACATCGCCAGCTGTTGGTCCTCTCTGTCATATGCGACTTACAGATGAGAAACTCAAACATTCCCGATCAAAACATCCCGTAATGCTTCAAAACCAACATCATACTAATCCCCGGAGCCATGTACTCCAACGTAAGTCCTAACCGACCCCATCGCATATTAATCCAGTCACTAAACTGTTCACTCCGATTCTTCCTAGACAAATCATCTTGACTCGGCCTCTGAACAGTCCTCATCGGAAAACCAAGCTCGGTCGACTCTGCATAAAACGTCGCCCAACGACCATGGGGCGGAATTTCCTCCAAAATCCACTCGTCGTAACGCCTTCGAACCTTGTCCAGCCACTTTGGATCAGTAGCAATACGGGATTCACACTCGCGTAGACTGATGACTCCCAGGTACTCCTGTTTCAACACCTGTTAGCCATTCACATTCGCACAACTTGAGTTGAACAAAAAACACAACTTACTTCTCCGTCTGATTGGCCTCTCCTACTACCTATCTTGTACTGCTCGACCAGTTTTGCAATTTCTTCGAGCTCCTTATCATTGGCTTTCTGGATCAGGTGTGCAATCCTTCTCGTCTCTGCTCTCGTTAACGGGTGTTTAGGTTTCTCCTTCTTCTTCTTCCTATCTGTCGGGCTCGACGGCCCACGCTCCGAGTCGGCTTCTTCCTCTGCGGCCTCCTCCTCTTCAGCTTGCTTTTCAGCAGCCTCCTTCTCTGCCTTGATGCGACGGCCTTGTTCAAGTACAAGAACTGGCACGTGGTGGTGCATCATGATGAAGGGGAAAACATGGTCGAGGTTGCAGCCTTCTTTTTTCTCGTGCAGCAATAGAATGTTCCAGGCGACCTCTGCGTAATGCAAGAACTTGTCTCGCTGGTTGTGGTGGCGCTTGATCAGAAAGTCATAAAGCTGATCCATATCCAGCCACTCGTCCGGCATGTCCCGGTTCTTGGTGATGTAGAACTGGTGCATCCAGCTGTGCAGTTCGTCGACGTCCATGGCGGTAGACGACGGCGAGGCGCCCGGCGATCGGAAACGACGCAGGCCTACCTCGCTGGCAATGGCGAGGCCGTTGAGTATGTCCAAAACAGCCTTTTCGTCCTGTGTCACCTCGCGCCCATGGGTCTTGTAGGTGATGTCGTGCTCGACTTCAGCCCAGGCGTGCATGATGACAGTGCCGACTTGGATTTCAACCACCTTCTTTTCCCAAACCTCCTTCTCGTCCGGTGTCAGATCTCGCGGATGCAGTCGCTTGGGTATCTTGACAGCCAAGTGAATAGCGCCGTATCCCGAGAACTGCTTCTCCAAGCCGTCAGCGTCGAGGTCATCGTCCGGCTCTTTCTTCTTAGGCGGCGGCCCAGGCGCGGAAGCATCCAGCCATTTCGCGTGAAGCTTTCGCAGCATCCTAACATTTGCCGGACCCCCCATTTTCTTCGCATCCTTGCCGTATTCATAGCCAGCGTCCTTGAGGAGTTGGATGACCCTCGGTGTGTCGCTGGGAAAATAGAGCACGATCCGCGCGCCAAGCATGTCGTGGAAGCCAAGCTCGAGCTCGTTCCGGGTTTTGAAATATCCAATCTCTTCCTTGTCCATTTTATATCTGTCAAATTGAACCTCCCAGTTCTCCTTCTGCTCAACCATCTTGCCTTGAATCTCTTGGGCGGCCAGGCGGTCTTTCTGTCGGCGCCGCGCAGTACCGTTGATGGAATCCCAGCTCTTCACCCGAGCGGCTATTGGGAGATGCCGGACATTGTCCTGAGCAAGGACGTGATTTAGGTCCTCTGCCACGGCGTTCAAGCATTGTCGGTACTGGCTAACTTCGCTATCGTAGACTTCGTTGAGTTCCTTGAGGAGCTCATCAAGTTTGTCCTCGGAGGACATTGCGGGGCCCATTGGTTACAGTTCTTTGATTCGCGGAGGTTGGTTGGTTTGGATCTTGGAATGATGGCGATAATGTATAAGGTAGGGTGCCTCGATTTTAATTAAAATCTTCAACGGCCGCACTCTTAAATATGTCTCTGATTCGGCTGTTTTCCCACTTGTTGTGCAGTACGGATCTCTCGGCAAACCCGTTGACTGGACTCGATAGAATAGACACATCTTAGTGGTGACTCTTGGAGGGCTCGGTTACAATGAGGCTTGCCATTGCCGCCTCATTGGGCTGATACACATGGCTGTTGACAAATGCCAAATGGGTCACAAGATAATACGACACGAGGAGATTGGCCTATGGTTGAACGGCATTGTTGAGGTACATGATATTTGACTCGTTGTCGCCGTCTTATTGGGCCAACATGCATGACAGCTGCGTCACGAATTGGATTGACTGGGGAACAGATTGTGAGATGTCGATAGTATTGGCGAAACAGACAAACCACATGCACATGCATGCAGTTAGACTAACGGTTGGTGCCCGACCGGGCCGACAGACGCGGGAACCGTGATGTTATTAGACGGAACAATTAATACTTTAAGCACAAGTTAAAAGGACGTCTCCAGAGCAATTTAAATCCTTATTCCCGAATGGACGGACTGGCATCATCTCCCCCAGACTCTTTGACATCGGGAGGATGGGCGATCTAATAGTCTCTGAAGTTGGTCCACACGCTTACAGCTACACTCCCTTGCCCGGCAGGACAATTCGGGTATTGACGCTACACGCTGGGAATCCCGAAGACCCGCTTAGAGGTTCTCTCGAGTCTGTCGTCGTTGACGATGCCGGTGTTTATGAGCCTCTCTCGTACGTCTGGGGCGACGGTCAGCTCACGCACGAAATCTTCCTGCCCACCGCACGGCTCAGGCTTACAGCTAGTCTGTACAATGCCCTGAGACGGCTCAGAAGGCGGACGGGATCCCGGCGCGTGTGGGCTGACCAGATTTGCATTGATCAGCTCAACAAGGAAGAGAGGTCGCAGCAGGTGCAGTTCATGAACCAGATCTACAGGAATGGGAGCCACGTGCAGGTTTGGCTTGGCCTTGATGAACAGAATCTGGCCAAAGAGGCCTTTGGTTTTGTACGAGGGCTCGCCGGGCTCCTCGCTCACGATAGTGAAAAAGCGGCCCTTCATGTGGATAATTTGTTCCAACAGGCAGTTGATTATTGGATGCCTTTGAAACACATAACAGCTCTCCCGTGGGTAAGCTGTGTTGGCGCGAGATTCTTTATTTCATGTTTAGGAGATTTGCGCTGAGATTGCTATTATTAGTTTCGACGTGGCTGGATCGTTCAAGAGATTGGCACCAGAGCTCCCGCAACCCTCCTTTGGGGAGAAGCAGAAATGCAGTGGAAAACACTGCACGAGGTATGCGAGGAACTTGCAGAATACCACCATATAAGAGTAAAATTCAAGGTGGCCACGTCAACCATCAAGTATCTCTATCGTCGTTTCATCGAACCCGACGCCCCCAGCCGGCACGACAATCGGTTTAGCTTCATCTATGAACTTCATCGAGCAGGACACTTGCAAGTCACGGACCCTCGCGATCGGGTATTTGCCATGCTGGGCCATTATTCCATTCGCAAGGGGAAGAATAGCAAACTGAAGGAGATGAAGGCGGACTACATGAAATCAGTTGAGGAAGTCTATATCGACGTTGCTGTGAGGGCCCTAACCGGAGATGATGAATCTCTTATTACACTGGGGGCCGTCCAACACATGAGTCTCCCCTCTTCTGTCGAAGCTTTACAGGCGCACGAGCGTAAACTGCCACTGCCATCGTGGACACCAGACTGGCGGGCTCGTCATGGACATATCATGTCCGAACCTACCAGCCCTCACCGCGCCTGCGGCTCAAAGAAGCCCAATCTTCACATCAGCGCATCAGTCCCAGAGGTGCTCAGCATTCGCGGCGTTCAAATCGACTCGATCCAGAACTGCTCCTCTCCATTAGAAAAAGGGGCGTTTCACGAGAGGAAGACTGACCAAGGAAACACCAAGCGGATCGCAATCGAGTCTCTTTGGATGGAAATCTGCGGAAACACAAACGGCTTTGGTCTCGACGACAAGTACGTCGACAGCAAAGACAGCAGCTTCTTTGCCTATGTCCAGACACTGAGCAACGGCTGCATGGCCATTTACTGGCAGGATCACGCCGCTGAGAGCTACAGCGCCATCCGACATGAAGAATGGCTTGGACACAGCGCTGCCTATCTCACCACCGCGGTGGACAAGACGATCATCTCTCCTGAGCTGCATCGCCTGGCTGAGAAAGGAGACGCACTGAAATGGAGCCGTGCAGCAACTGGTGCATCGAGCAATCGAAGATTCGCACGAACTACCAGGGGATACTATGTAATGGGACCGCAAGTCATGGAGGAGGGCGACGTTATCTGCGTGCTCTTTGGCGGGAAGATGCCGTTTTGTCTGCGGCCTTGTCTGGACTCTCGGCGTTATTTACTTGTTGGGGAATGTTATATACATGGGTTCATGAATGGGGAAGCTGTAGAGATGCTTGACGAGGGGAGATTCTGCGATGAGGTCTTCGAAATTGTTTGACGGGACGCCACGTACCCAATACGAGTCTGTTAATTCTACGGCCATCAAGCCTGATAATTTGTACACTACTTCCTCATTACGTTTGCTACCGGTTGTATGTGAAATAGGCTGAAAAGGTTGCGAATTAAGACGTCTTATCGACGCCGCAGCCATCTTATTGCGTGTTCCTTAGACGAGCTTTCTCGCAGACATCAGACCAAGCTAGATTTCCTCCACCGCCAACCCCCGCCAATCTGGTCACCCCTTTTATGTGTTGGTGGTGCAACGCCGTAGCGAATCGCGCAATTATACAAACATTTCAGTCCCCAATGTCCTGTTCATATAGCTCTATCTCCCTTGGTTTCTTGGTAAGCCCCTCCTTACCGTCCCTTCCACCCCCCTCCCTCCGTGGGGAATGGTCTTGCGAGGAGCAGTATTCTCATCATCTGCTTCTTTGTAACCATCCAGAACTAATCCATCATCTAGAGGTGTTGGAGATCCAACCATTCTTGGGGTGATTTCAAGGCCTATTTCCCATGCTTTGGCGATGTGCTTGACGTTATGTTTCCCGACCAAGTCAGACTTGCCAGGGTATTTGAAAAAGTACTGTGCAAGTGCAGAATAGAAGAACCCTTCGAGCTCCAGCTCACGGCTGTCCATCTGACTCCATACTACACGACCCCTGCTATACCTGGAGCAAGACTGGCCCAAATGCTGTCGCATGATATCGAATGCGCATATGGCCCTTGCTTCTCCTTTGATCCTGGGATCAATGCCGCTCTCAGCCGCCAGACTTGTAGCATACTTTTCAAGATTATACGCCTCGATGAAACAATCGAAGGAGTCTCTAGAGTATAGGATTTTCCAATGAACATCATGTTTTTGCCCGATACGCCAGAGTCGACCTTGAGCTTGGAGAAGGATTGCTTGGCTTATTGGTTGCTCTAGAATCAAGCCGCGATGACACGCCTGGTGGAGATTGACGCCAAAGGCTGAGAGCTGCAGCGACGTCACTAGGCAGATGTAAGGTGTAGCTGGATTATTGAAAGCTTCAACGGCGTGGTCGCGCTCTGTTTGGGAATGCCGGCTCATGTAGTGAAGGGTAGGGACACCCGCAGCCACGAGCAAAGCATTCACCATTCTATTTTTGCAAGTGTTAGTCAATCTGTCACTGAGTGGGAAAATGTGGCAGCAGGGAGAGGGCCAAGAACCGTTCATAGACACATGGGATCAATCAAGATACCAACAGGATGAATGACTTACTGGGATGCTAAAGGGTTGTTTACGTATACCAATAAGCGCTCGCCTTTGGCTTGTGCATCCAATGCCTCAAGAACCGTATATACATACTTGGGAGAGTCCCGAGCGACGTATCTCACCTGATTGACTCGATCTGGCGGAAAGCCAAGCTTTTGACTCTCACGGGTGTTGTAAAAGTTCCACTGTAGGCCACCGGTAGTATCAAAAAGGGCAACTCGGTCAACCTCTTTGTGTCCTGCAGCCAGAATTGGGTTTGAACGTGCCTTTCGAGCTTCCTTGCATCTCTGGTACTCTGGACGGCCGGACGCATCCATGTCCAGAGCGCCTTGCTGAAGATCAGATAGCCGCTGCAGGAGTCTTGCTGAGGGGTTCGTGAGCTTGACGTTGTTGACATCAGTAGAAGCCAATGACGAACGGCGATATACCGCACTGTTCAACGTCATTCCAGCTCGTTCAAGGACGTGACTTCCCGTAAGCATTTAACAAGGGCTTGCTTCTATTGGACTCATTAATTTGTCCTCCAAGATGTTGACATGTGCAGCGAGCTTAGCCTTGACCTCTGCTGAGTGTTCCAATTCCACAGTTTCCGTTTTGAGTCCGGCGATACCCTCGCCCATAAACGTTATGCGGCCATTTGGCAGTGTCATCCTTGTAAGCATACCGCGTCAGACTGAGAGGAGCTTAAGAATTGGGCGGACAGCTAATGTTGAGACGATGTCCCATAATCGTTGTTTTTGGCGAACTCCATGAAGAGATTGGGGTTCAAAAGATATGCTGGGCCGTTGTGATCTTTCACATACGACTTGTACTCCATGGCTCGACGGCGTTCTCTTGGCGATAGCTGAGATGTCTTTTTAACTCTGCCACGGAGAACACGGTTTAGTGTAAGGGGCTCCTCAACTTCAAGCTCGACAGACTCATCAAAGAGGCTGTCATATACTAGATCTCCAAAGAAAGTATCGGCATTTGTAGCGTCGCCTTTCTATTGGTATCCAAACGGCCAAGCTGGGTCCCAAAGTACTCGCAAATAGCCGTTGATATCTCTCACGTGGTTAGGCAACGGTGTAGCCGATACGAGAAGCAAAGTCTCCCGGTCAAGCTTTCGAACTAGTTCATTGGCCCTGGTGCCAAAACTTTTGATGTGGTGGCATTCGTCGCAAACAACAACATTCCACATGTCGTTGGTCAGGATTTTCTTGCCTCGTCTAATGTATGCTGCTGCCGATTTACCAATCCGCTGGGCTCCTTCCTCATCGTCATTACTCCCTGGTGAATCCTCAAAAACTGCTGTCATCTCCTCGTCTTGGCTGCCATAACCGATGGTGTCTCCCTGAGAGGATAGCCGATCCATTTGATCGCTTGTGAGGCTTTTACTTGCGCGTGCTCCAAGGATACGCCTGGTTGCGGTCGAGTATGCTGTGAGGAGGATAACTCGGCCAGTCTATGGCACAAGGTGTTAAAATAAAACGTGAAAAAAGGTCTTTGCACTCACCTCTGGATCTTTATGCTTCTTGGCCCATCGATCGACATGTTTTTGGAGTTCGTGGAGGGTGTCAATAGTCTTGGTCTGACGATCAGGATTTGCACAAGTCCAGAAAGAGTAAACGTCAAAAATGCCTGCCCAGTCAGAATTGACCTCGGAAAAAAAACTGATTGAGAGTGGCGGAGGGCACGAAGATGATGTTTGGTTTGTCTATGGGCATCTGTACAATAGCTATTAGCGAAATACAATACAAAAGGCGCAAAGGGGAGTCTGTAAAAGCTTTGATATATGACCGCCTGGAAGTGAGCGGCCTCTATGTACGGCTCCTGGCTCAAGCTGTGCGTCTCTCAACAGTCGTTGGATCGTACTCGACGGAAAGCGGACTCTATGAACGGCTGTTGGAAGGCGGGAAAAGCTCAATCGCAAAGTCTTCAAAGCCGCGATAAGGGGCAGCAGCGAAAGAGAGATAAAGGAGAGAAGGAGGTGAGAGGAGGGCGGAGGGCGGAGGAGGTTCAAGTAGTTTTCGGGCCACCGCCCGGGTTTATTGCCGGGCGGTAAAATTCAGTGGGTCTGACGTGTCCGGTCACTAAAGATCCGGACCCACTGCCCGGAGGTTGGACAGTGGAGAACCATTGCAAGTGGCCGTGTCTGAATTATCTACAGACTTGTGTGTATTTGAGATTGTATTAATATTATGCTCTTGTTTTCAATGCATTATCTGTCTTTCAAAATCATATTAGCATACTTATTCATCATTAATACCGTTAGTTATATGTAGACTAGCATCCCAATCGAGAGCGCAACTCCGCTGGTTGTTACTGAGTATTGGTCCTGATCAGTGATCTTACATACAACTATCAACAAGTTATCGCAGCAAAGTTGATTGGGCTCTCTAATTGCGTTTGTTTGAGCGCCTCCTCATTTGTATGATATAAGGACAATACGTTGGGCACTCCGTATGTTGGCACATGTACACAGTCAACCACCAAGCTTCTCTCCAAAATATTCCCCCTCACCGTCTCACTATCTCTCTGCCTTTCACTTGGCCTGGGCACAGCCAATTGAGCTGAACAAACTCGACCTAGATCTACATGAAATCCTCCCCATCCATCCACACCGACAAGGTTCCCCAACAAACGGCACTCGAGACAAAAATCTCCCTTTTTCTAATCCTGTAGGCGACTGACAGGGTTAATGCGGGGTAATGCAGGACCGCATGATTCCAGAGGTCGGTTACGGAGAGACTGAACTGCCGCCTCCAAATGATTCGAGCTCATCAATGTCTCATCCATCCCGGTATTCCTCATCCGCCCTTGACCCCCAGCCAATATTGGGCGGGTAATCAATCCCTGCAGGCAGGAGTAAGCTGGGGAAGGTCGGGGCTCAACTCCACCCGCCATTCCAATTCTTCTATTCTTCGACAACAGTCCTGGCGGTCTGGTTCTCGCCATCTTTTTCGCAATGAAGGTGTCACAGGATAATAAGGCGGACTTTGAAAATGAGAAGCATGAGGAGGACGCGCTTGAGCATGGGGAGGGGTATGGACAGGATCCGCAGCGAACAGCTGCCATGGCCAAGAGGGTTCTGTTCAAGATAGACACGAGGTAAGCTCTCGGACATGTTCTGTGAGATCAGGAGCAGCTGTCGCCATTGAACCTGATGGCGTTATCTTTTCACAATTGTCAACTGCATCAATGCTCACCAATATCGCAGGGTCATGCCTGTTCTGGCCCTCCTGCTACTATGCTCGTTCCTCGACAGGACCAACGTCGGCAATGCCAAAATCCTCGGCCTCGAGGCTGATCTGGGCATCACAGACAAGCAGTATTCGCAAGGTCTCGCCGTATTTTACGCCACATATATTGCCTGGTCTGCCATCTCTCTCTCCAATCACCAAAGACACCAGTGCTAATCCACCCCGTCACAGCGAGCTTCCAAGCAACCTCGTCCTCAAGAAAGTCTCCCCACGTATCTGGCTGCCCTCACTAACTGTCGCGTGGGGCATTACAACCATGTGTTTGGGGTTCGTGCGCTCATTTGGCAGTTTCGCTGCCGTGAGAGCGCTGCTGGGCATCGCCGAGGGCGGCCTATTCCCGGGCATCGTGCTGTATTTGTCCAGCATGTACACTCGAGGCGAATTGGCCCTTCGAATAGGAATTTTTTATACCAGCGCGAGCCTTTCGGGGGCATTCGGTGGCCTTTTGGCTAGAGGATTGTCGGCGATTGGGCCAAGAGGCGGGCTGGAGGGTTGGAGATGGATCTTTATCATCGAGGGCTTGCTGGTAAGTTGGGCGTTTCACAGATTCAAATCGTTATCGGCATAGCCAATTGTTAACAAATATCCAGACGGTTATCTCTGGGTTGATTGCATTTGTTGCGTTGCCCAATGGCGTTGCGAGCGCCGGGTTCCTCTCGACCGAAGAGCGAGACTTTGCCGCTGAGCGACTAGCAAGCGACAACGGCGGTCGCTTCAAGTATACCACTCCCTTACATATGATCTAAAGAACTAGACTAATGATGATGCTGTTTAGTCCAGCGATTGAAGCTGAGGAGACATTCAAGTGGTCAGAGGTTCGCCGCGGCCTCTTCAATGTCCAGATTTGGCTCACATCCACGACGTATTTCGCCCTCCTTTCGGGTGTCTACTCTTTTGGTCTTTTCGTAATTACATTCCTGTTTTCAACTCCCGTGTATAGAGCTGCAACTTTTGTGCTGACTGGGTAAAGTTGCCTACGATTGTCAACGATTTGAAGATTACATCCAATGCCAACAAAGTCCAGTTGTGGACTGTCATTCCCTACGCTGTAGCAACTCCTACAACAGGTACACACATGCATCTAAATGTATACATGAGCCTTTGACCTGCTGACCGTGATTCCAAACAGTCTTTGTCGCCCTGATTTCCGACCGCATCAAGCTACGAGGCCTCCCTATGCTCATCATGCTGCCCATCTCTATCGCTGGCTACGCAACGATTGCTCACGTCCAATCTGCCAGCGTCCGCTTCGCAATGACCTGCCTCATGGCCATGGGAATGTATAGTTCCGTACCGTGTGTATTGGTATGGAACGCGAATAATTCGGCAGGGCATTATAAAAGGGCAACGACATCAGCTCTTCAGCTAGCCGTGGCAAATTGCGGGGGGTTTGTAGCAAGTATGTCGATATCCCGGTATATCCTTCACAATTTTCAGCAGCTGACGAAGAGGTCACTTCGCTAGCATTCGTATACCCAAACAAGGACGGGCCCATATATCTCAAGGGACACTCCATCATTCTGGGGCTATTGTGTTATGCGTGGTTTGCGTAAGTGACTTTCTCTTCTATGAATTTACTAAACGTCTGGAAGCATGACTGACGGTGAATAACAGTGTTTTGGCCAATTTGCTCTGGTTGGCCAAGATGAACAGAGACAAGAAGATGGGCAAATACGACCAATACGCTAGCTCTGGAGACGATCGCGACCCCGAATTCGAAATGATCTTGTAAAACTTCTGTTTGTCGTGGGTTCTGTCGTTACAATCTGGCAGCGGATCTAGGTTCAACGTTTGCAACAGCTGTTCCAGAAAGACCCAAAGTTTGCGAGTCAATGTATTTGTGTTTTTATTTATCAAATTATTTCTCACAAGGAGAATTCATACTGAGGAAACCTCCAAGCCACAAGATCCAATCCTTAAGCAGACGCTCTATCGGCTGTGCGTATGTCACATCGTTCAGTTCATTGATGCTTTTGCCCGACAATAATATCCCAGCACTTGGAGCCTCCTGGACTTCGGGCGGTGGCGTGTTTGTATTAGTTGTAGTCCGGCGATGGTCTGCCGTTTTTGTATTTGATGGCGGAGTCCACATGGTGGTCTGTAACTCGGGGCCCATTGTGCATTTATCTCGTCGTCTGAATGTCAGGTTGGCGTCGGGGTTATCCATACCAAACTCTGCTGAGGATGAAAGGTGATTAACAAGGGTTTCTTTTAATCTAGAAAAGCGGGAATCGCCTAGAGCATACAGGGCTGAGTGAGGATTGAGCCTGCCAAGGATTGTGGAATCCTCCGAGAAGAGGAGTGGCGATCTGGGATGGACGGCATCAGATCTAGTACTCCGTACATTGGTTGCTTCTATCTGTTCTATCATACCCGTTTCTATTTCCTCTAATTACAATTCGAAAAGCACACCTTTGGAACCAAGCTATCCCATCAATACTTTTACCACCTCTTCAACCTCATCCGTATTTCCAAATACGATACCGCCCCTCTCATCACACCCTTGTACCTCCCTGGTCAAAACATCCTTTCCATTCTCATCCACAGCCTTTCCTCCAGCACATTCCACCACCAAGGATATAGGAAGAACCTCGTATAACCTCCTCAGCTTGGCCTTATTCGCCGACTCCACGGGATTGACGTAGACACCGTGGCCTTTGGTGAGGATGTGGCCCAGATCCGGAACAAGACCGCCACAGTACCGAAGCGTATACTTTTTAGCGATGAAAGACGAAATGAGAGTGGCGTATTTGGAAGAGTCTGCCGCAAAACGCAGGTTTGCAGGAGCAAAATATCTGGTTTTGTAGGGTGGCGAAGAGAGTCTAATGTTGGGGTTAAGGGGCTCAATCTTGTCCTTGTCACCAAGTCCTAGCTCAAAGCAGACACCCTCAGCAGAAGCAGAACCTTGGGTTGCGTCTGCTTCCCTGATAGCCACAATGACGGTTGTACGCGGTCCGTGAACTCCCAACACGGAACAAATCTGGTCTTTCGGGTTCTTCCCCAGTGTCGTCTCGCCTTTCCAGATGCCCACAATTGTGCCCACAGCCCAGTTAGGAGCTATGATTGAGCTTCCATCAAGAGGATCAAAAGCCACAGAAAACCTTTTATCAGAAGAAACAGCACTGGAAGCTTCTCCTTGATGGACCTCTTTCTCTTCGGGATCTTCCTCACTGCTGGCTCTCACCACAAGCGGACACTTGGCAAGCGCAGCGCGCATGAGATTCTCTGAAGCAACATCGACGTTGAGTTGATCGTCACCAAAAGAGTTTGCGGATCCAACGAGGGAGACGTGGTGCGAAGTTCGGAGGGTGGCGCCGATTTGAGAAATTGCGCTGAAGAGATGCGGCAGCAGAGAAGTGCTCAGAGCGTGGAGAGTTGGAGATGGTGATTGAGTGAGCTGAGGGGGAAGCCATGGGGGGAGAGGAGACTGAGATTGAGAAGCCATGATGATGGTTTCAGTGTTCTCGGTGGTTGATGCCAGAGAGCAGGTTGAGTTCAGTTGAGTTGCTGGAGTGGCGAAAACTCTTGGAGATGCGGGTTTTTGGTGCTTTGGTGGGGTTTGGTTTAGCCCAGTGCTTGGAGCTGAGAATACAGTCAATGAAGTGGTCTTGAGTCCGCCGTGACGCTGTTAATTCTGAAGCATTGAAAAAGGAGGCTGATTCAATGAGGGCTTTCAAGTTATTTGATGAGGCGAGATTGCCAGGTTATATATTTCCAGTTACATTGCTTGTGGTATCTCACACCACACATCACGCCAAACTGTGCAATTTATCTTGTCTGTCGCCACCAACGTCAACCTCCCGGTCGTCAGCGGCTCTAAAGCAACTGCGATATCCGAGCTTATAGCGCAGGAAAAGAAAATATCTGATATAATGAAAGTAATCAATTGTTCCAAGGAGATAAAACTACGGCATGGCATGTTTCAAACCTCACGGCGACTATTGCGACCGATCCTACCAAAAGCGCATTGGAGGCTATTATAAATAGACCTAATGGCTCTAGATGGATATAACAGCCCTAGATTGGCGGTCGTAGATCCAGGTAGATGGGGTAGTTTACGATAATCTGGTAGCTACTCCATCAAGATTTATCTTACTCTGCGGCTAGAGAAGCAATTGACGTCGCTTGCAAAGTAGTTGCTCATATCGTGCCTGTTACTTTCCTCGTACTCTTACAACACCTTGAGCTTCATATCTTCTCATTACGCATCCATTTAAAAGCAGGATATCTCAGTCAGTCTCCAAAAAACCTCGCATCATCCAACATCTGCTTATCACCCAAGCATTTCTTCTGATCCGATCGAGCACTCACGCACTCAGCTAATCCAACTGGATAAAAAGCATCCATTGGATTTGTATTTTTAATTCTAACTTCTAACACGATGGAGAACAGACACTTCCGACACCTCCCACTGAGGAAGAGCGTCGGCTCTTCTACTACAGACTTCCATATTGCCCGAGGCTGGTCGCACGCTCAAGCAGCCATGTTTGGGAAATACGCCAACTACCTTTTCGGATCTCTTCCATCGCCAGGGAAAATATGGTTCCCAAAGCACTCGTAAAATGCCCCGAACACCCAGCATATCATCTTTGGTCCGACCCAAAATGTTCCCTACGGGAGAACATCGTACAAGCGGCCAGAGCGGCCACCGGGGCCGATTGGCTCCCCGTCGACCTTTTGGGTATTGGAGATAATGATGGGGTTCACAAGGATTTCGCTGCTACCCTTATGGTTTCTATTAAGCCGGGGAAAGTACCATGGAGTGTCGAATATGCTATGGCACGACAATGCATTGATGTCTTCAAATGGGCGCCACTCAGCCGTAATAAGCCAATAGCTACTTGTAGAAACTACTACGTTAGCGAGGCTAATTAACTTGTATCAAATATCAATATCTTGTTTGGCCAGTGTATACCTATGCATGTGAATTATGAAAGTGTCATTCGATGATCAAGCCAGTTAATTCAGAGAAACTTTAGAGCCATAAGATTTGATATCTTAAGCAAGCACTCTAATAGCTGAGGCTACGTGATGTTGTTCCACCCATTTTGGTCTTCAATTGCTTCGACAGTACCAACAGGGCGTCGCTCCATGTCCCAGACGCATGAATTAGAGTTTCCCTTCATAGAGAAGGCATTTTGGGGCACCTCATTGGCATTTTCTAGCTGATTTATCGCTTGCGCTTTCTGCAAGCCCCTCTGGTGTCGCTGTATAATGAATCAATGATCTGGAGCTATTGGGCTAACTTGACCGAGCAAGTACTCGATCTGGCTATATCTACTCCATCTACCATATCTACCATATCGACCTAGATCTACTATATCTACCCAAACCACCCCAGAATGAAGCCAGCAGAGACCGCAGGGTTTATGGAGCTTCACTTCGATCGCTGAAAACTGAAGAGATGTAATCATCAAGCACAGTATAGAGAGGTACTTATGCGCATCCATTCTTAATCTAGTCCACCCGGTCACTCAGTCACTCATGAAACCAAGCTTTTCGTTCGGACGCGTGTTGTATAAACTCCATTGAAGGCCACCTGTAGAATTGAACATGCCGACTTCCTCTGCCTCCTTTGTGCCTGCAGCGGGAATTGGTTTGGATCTCGCTTTTCGGGCCTCTTGCCGCCTCTGAAGGTCTGGTAGTCCGGATTCGTCAATCTCCATTGAGTCAAACCCGCTTTCTCCGGAATCGGAATCCTGAACATTCTGGGTAGAACCGAAAATATATACTGATGCTACTCCTTGAGGAACTTCCCCGGCTGTCTCTTGGCGAAAGTCCGAGAGTCGCTGCAAAAGACGGGCTGTCGGTGTGGTTAACTTGATGTTACTCACGGCCGTTGATGCGAGCGATAGGCGGCGGTACATGGCACCATTCAACATCATTCCTGCCCTCTCTATTAGATAGCCCCCGGTAAGCATTTTGGGTAGAAGTGCCTCTGCTAGGCTCATCGGTTAGTCCACCAAGACGGTAATATGGCTCGCCAGACCATGTAAGCTGCACCTTTCTGTTTTTAACAAAGGCTGTGAATTCTTTTGATCCGATCTTTTGTCATACTGTCAGCTACTTTTCCCCCTTCACTTTACCGGCGAGCACGCGCTTGAGGATTATAGGGGCTGCGACATCCAACTCAATCGATGAGCCAAAAAGACTAGCGTATACCGATTCTCTAAAAAAAGGTTTCAGCTAGGGTTGGGTCTTCTTTTTGCTCATACCAAAATGGCTATGCCGGATCCCAAAGGACTCTGAGGCAATCCTTGATATCCCGTATATGGTTTGGCATGGGAGTTTCTAAATCGAGGAGGATGGCATCTCGATGTAGATGGCGAATCAAGTAACTCCACCCAGTAGTGATTCATTTCGGGCGATCAAATCTTGTACTCTAAGACTCCAATGCTACGGGGAGAATAGCACCGTTTTATCTCCACGCCGAAAATATCTTTATCAAGTCTATTTGGATCCACTAGATCTACTCACGTCTACTTTATCTACCTAGGTCCACTGGATCTATCTACCTAGAGCTACTGCATTCGGCCATGTTCACAGCTCGGAATATCGCTTTCCCGGAATATTATGCTGCGTCCACTTATTGTTATCATGGATTTTCCTTTCATTTCAAATTTCCATGGCAGTTCAAACTTCATGGTTGTATTTTTGGTGTGTGTCTACCATGAATCGACCAGCCAATCTTCTGTAAGGCTTGTAACCCGGCTCCTAGGCCTGCAGATATTGCAAATGTTGCAGACTGAAAGGCATTCTCTATAGTATGTGCTATGGACGGGAGGACGCACTGTTTCTGTCAGGAAGAGGTGTGGAAATAACATAATTAATGTGTGGAAACTCAGTCCCTCCCCTCCCAAGCCTCTCAGCTCCTTAGACTACTTATTCCCGGCAAGGTATGAAATGAACAAACAGATTGGTCAAGTCGTGTGTGGTGAGACAGGTGTTTAGACCGGATATACGGGCTACCATACCACACTTTGGGCTTTCCTTGCCTTATGATACAAAGCTCGCCGTATTGATCCTAGCATTATGCGCTAGCCAAATTAGCATCCTGGGCAGAAAGGCCTTAACAGGCCCAAAAAGACGTGGAGAGTTCATAGTCTAAAATGTTCCAACTTGATCCTCTCGTCATGACAGTAAGAGCCATGGATAACTGTAAAATGCTCACCCAGTCATGCAATGCTATTAAAACATCCTCAACATGGAGAATTTTTAAGCCTACGTCGAGCTATTGCCTAATGCACCCCGGGTACATCTTTACATGTACCATTACGATGGGATGACCTGGCTTGTCCGTCCTTGCAAAGGACGGACCAGACCGCAAGCAGTTTGCAAGAGAAATTAGAAGACTGCACTCAGGAATTTGAAGCTGCGCGGGCAAAAGCGAAAATCAAATATGAACTTTATTCCCTTGCTTGAATTAAAATCATCCAAGAGACCATCGCTATGCAAGAAACCCTATCTATGTACCCAGTGTTGTAATGTTGTGCCCCGGTCGTCCGCCTCGTAGGACAAGTTACCACGACTCAAGTGTGCGCCTTTCCCTATCAACTTGGTGCTCGAGATGTAGAATTATGGAGGATATTTCTTCTATAAACTTGTTACAGTCCTCCCTCTTATAGAAAGCCCATTTGATCACTCCAATTGTTTTTGTCGCTTGGGCTTTCCGCTTGTCAACAAATCCCATAATTTGAGCTTGTGTGCTGCAATCAGCCCTGATCTGGGCAGCTTCACGTTGAGCAGTACGGAGGGCGTCTTGAATAGCAGAGAGAATTTCCGCTGCTGTTGATTCTCGGTCTTGAGATGTGCTATTTGTGCCCGTGGTTGTATTTATGGATAAAAAATCGTCGACGCGGTTCGTATCGTGGATGATTCTTGAAATGGCGGCGCAACGGGAGATGTGCATTTGGAGATGAAGCTCATAGATTCTGAATTCGGTTTCGAACCTGCGCAGCTGCTTGATATGGCTGAAACATTGTTGTAAAAGGTGAAAAATACTGGCTGTGCCCCGTACAGCATCCATTCTATGGAAGATGTTTTGGCAATAAGAGTTCAAAGTTGGTTCAGTGAGAGATTCCAGAATTTAAATCCTGACCTTGTGTTACTAACAGAGGCAACGGCAAGGAGGAGTGCCAAGGAAGGCACCGCCGAGCAAACGTGGGACTAACTGCCGGTGAGCCCCACCTCAGACAGATCAAGCGTCAAGGTCTGTGCACGGACCCTTTTCTATGGAGGCAGCCGTGATGTATATTCAAAGTAGTCTCAGATCAACTCTAGCCTAATCCAGCTAAGTTAGTATTGCCGTTTTGTTTCCGAAGTACAGTCACTACATCATGGTGGGCTTATCGCTAAAATATAGTGTATCTAGCTCTATAATATAGTGAACCACTCGCTACATTATAGCAGTCATCATTTCAGCTTGGACAGTGTAAGCGCTAATCTGGAATCGGAAAGGGCAAGTTTGGTGGTGACCTCGAGTATTTAGTTGGATGCAACAAAGTTATTGCATCCCACTGTACTTGTACTTTCCACTTACCACAGACACATGCGGATATTATGAAGATGTCTTACATCACTTAGTAGGTACCGCAGAGGTAAAGGTACCTCTAACGTTGAAATAAGCTGGGTGTCCAAGGCATTAGGAAAAAAGAAGAAAGACGAGAGAGATTGATAGATAAACAGAGATGTTGTGATACATGGAGTATCTCTGCCTTTTATCTCTAAGCGCAGGCCTAGCAGATATGACCGAAAAGGCGCTATAAAGGATGAAGAATGCCGGCTGTACCTCCTACAGTATCCATCATTAATATAGCAAGATTAGTTCAGTGATAAATGCTCTCTAGAAGCTAAATCGCCTCCCAGGATCAAGAGCCCGAGCTCAAAGAGTGTAAGGGTGGGTACAGTGCTTTGCTTCGGTAGCGCCCAACGCAGCAGGAGGCTCGCGATGTTGCCCACAAGGTCGGGATTGCGAAAAGCTGGCATTGAATCCAGCCGTTTTTATACGAATGACACGTACTTCTCCGTCAGTTTCACAGCCCGGTTGAAATACACCCCGCCCAGCATGGGCACAGACAACATGTATGTTGTATGCACGCTTGTGTGTCAGGGTCAGATAGCCACTGGACGACATAGGCCGGAGCCTTGAAATTAAGAGAACCTGCATTGCTCACGCGATGCGTTGCAGCCCGACCCGATGCTGGCATCCCGAGCCGATAAGCGTCATGGCCCTTGGGGTTTTATAAACTCAACTAACGCATCGTAAAAAAGGCCGAAGGATGGGTAGCTGCCTGTCATGAGACACGTTCATGTTGGCTTTCCAATCGTGAGGCATACAATCAAGTCCCTCTTCTCGCCAGAGGATCGAAACAGGTGCCTCTAGCGAGTGTCTTTACCAAATGAAACTTGGCCACTTCTCACAGATACGAGTCCCGCATCGCTCCAGTTACATGGCATCTAATTGATTTCTTTTTCTAGCTTTCTATGTAATAAATGCTGCGCTCCGTCGCCTTAAAGGTCTTCACACTTCCACTACGGCCTCTCACAGTTTGCGCTTTTCTCAGGTGTGAGCTTATGGGCAGTGAGGAGGCAACGCCCGGCAGCAATTGTACTGGTCGATATTCTATGTGTGCCTTCTCCTGTTCTGTAAAGCTCAGCAGTAACGGGTGCATCAAGTTGAACATGGTTAAGCTAATCCATAGGCAAGGTCGAAATTTGATGTCGATTGGTCTTTCGGTCCTCGGATGAAAAGGATAGTCTGATAGATGTCAATGTCAACCACATCCTTTTCCCGGCAAATTTAGGTTCGGTGTAAAATTGCCAGAAACACCGCAAACGATCAAGGCATTGTAGAAAACATTGAAATATGTCCTAAACTCTTCAAACACGGTAATCGATCTTTGTTATTAAGAATATGATAACTAGGAATAATCTTGACTCTACAGTCCCCGCTCCCGCATCGCAAGCTATTGATTATGGCTAGCCAAAGTGTTCAGACTGCCAAGTTGGCGCTGTTCTCTATATTCTGGATATCAAGCCTTTAGTCGACTAAAAGTTTCGGGCATTTTGCGGTATTCTACAAGCCGCTGCTCATGCATTGGAACCTCTTCATATCGACCTCTCTTGGCAATTGGAAAGGGGGTTTGAAGAACACGACTATGCTTATCGATGCCCAATCGGATCTAGACCACTGGAACAAATCTCAAAGCAGAGAGAGCAGACAACTCGCAGCATAAATGACAAGACGAAAGGTTTACTCAAGCTTGTAAGTCTGCGGGTTGAGTTCCTCCATAGAACAGTCAAGGACTTTGTCTTGACTAAGGACTTGGAAGAGTACTTGCGTGGCAAGCTCCCAGATGACCATAGCGGTTTTGTATCTATTGCCACTGCATACCTCGGCTTTCTCAAAACCACATGCCATGACACCTCACTCGTCGCTGGGATCATGAGGCATGGGATGGGACTCAACAGCGGACCGTTCATCTCGCATCTCAACCAGGCCCTCTTTTACACATCGGAGGCGCTGAGAGCTGACCAATTCGCTTCTCGTCACTACCACCGTACTACGACATTACTAGATAAGTGTGAAGAGGCCATTGAAGCCATGGTGCGCGTAGGGCACGTTATCATCAGAGGAGTCAACCCCGAGGCCTGCCACCCCGGTTTGCCTTTCCGCGAGGAGTTACTCAAGCACAACTTGACATCCTACATTGAAAAGAGAATTCGCGAGCAGCCTGGTTTCTTCAACATCTTTGACGAATTACCCCTGTTCGCCGCACTCACCCCCATGTCGCTCAACAGCGGCGAGAGCCCAGCTCCCGTGGCCAGGACCCTCGACGTTCTCCTCCAGCGCGGAGCGGATCCAAACGTGTTACCTCAAGTTAGAGGCCTATACCTCGAGGAGGCGGCATTGCCTTGGGTACTTTTCGCTCGCGGTACCATGTCTGTCTTCAATATGCTAGCCGGGCCCCTCATGTTTCCGGCTCTGCGATGGAACGATTCTCTAAACAATGCCCTCTTCGACCTTTTGATGTCTTACGATGCAGATCCCAACCAAGCCCTCCTAGACCGGCCAGGAGCGCATACAGTCTTCTCGCACTTCTTGGAAATATCTACGTCGCGGTTCCTAGGCGAGGAGTGTTTTGGCGGCCATCTTAGAACGTTGGATGCCTTCGTTCGGCCGGCACCAGCCTCGGTGTTCCGTATAATGGAACTGTTGATCCGGATGCTTTGGCTGCGTTTGGAAACCTTGCGAGATCAAACCCAGAGGAAACAGTGCTAGCTTCTTATTGTACCGAACTGAAGGGTCTCATGTCGAAATTGGCAGCTGGTCCAGGACGAGCTAAATTCCTCGCATCTGTAACTGAGAAGTTTGTGGTGCATTGCTCTGGCGGGGAGGAAGACTTGGAAAGGCTGTCATTGGCAATATTGGAGGGTCTTCCCCAGTATGTTGCCGAGCCGTTGTTGCAGGTGGTTGATAACAAGTTGGAGATGGGCAAAAAAAGGGGAGACACGCGCAAGAGACGTCGAGGAAGTCGAGGTGATTCGGCATACGGCGGTGATGTCAAGCAACTTAGGGGGGAGTGAAATGACAGCTGATCGCCTTCTTTCTGATGGAAAACAACCACCGATGAGTCACCAGTGTCGCACGGCTGTAGGGCTGTTCATGATGCGTTTAGGTCAACGTTATCCAACACCCAAGTTAATTATGTAGCACCGTAGTGTAATTAGCAGTATTATAGTAGACATATATAGAGTACTTGATTCACTAGTAATTAGTAAGAAACTTCTACGTAATAAGACGCAACATTGATAGCTTTAGAGGAAACAAACTACCAAATAGACTCTTCCGTAGTAGTGTTGTAAGTCAACTATCGCCACTCAGCTTCACCAATTCAAAAACATATCTCCTGAACATATTCTGAATAAGCATTTCAGACGATTCCTAAGCTAACAATTGAAGCTAGATAATGGAAGTCATATACAAGCAACTATGCCCTAGTGCTATACCTTGAGATATTACGTCCAATACTTTCTGCATAGCATGGCTAGCTAGAGATATATGTTACCGGCAACGACTACTCGTGCGTCTTTCGCAGGTTATCTGGGTTCGCAATAAAAGCAGCACCCACCCCAACAGCAGCCACCAAAGTCGTCGCTCCAAAAGCAAGCCTCAATCCATCATAGTAAACCAGCCGGGCGCTGAGCTGGATATCAGGCGGAAGCGTCCGCAGGGCTTCCACAGAGTGCCGGATCTCGTCGATAATCTAAGCCGAAATCTACGTCAGTTGCCGATTTCCCTACCAGTTATGAACATTTTAAACGATCAAGGAAAAGGGGCGTACTCTCCATTTATCTGGTACCTCGCTCAATACCTGTGGTAAGCGTACACTGAGCGTATTCTGGACGATGGCTGAAGTGATGGAGACCCCCCAGACGGTTCCTAAAGATCGAACGAGATAGGTTGTTGAAGCGGATACGGCGTGGTCTGTAGACATACGTGAGTGAAGGAATCTTGGCGCATCAGTAAGCACATACCTGAATGAGCGTGGGACGCAATCGAGATAAAGAGAGTCGCCGGATACACGATTCCTGTTCCCAAGTGAGAAGGAAAGATAAACAAGACATACTTCCACGAGGCATCCGAAAACGCCCAGGACGAGACCAAAGCCTGACCGATTGTCATGAGGATGAGCCCCGTGCGCATAAGTGGAATCAGCTTCCCCCAGCGAGACATGACCGTACCGGCAATCAAGCCACCCAAGGGCATAGCCAGCGAGGGAATAGCCAGACGAGCGCCGGCTTTGGTGGCTGAGTCTTGAAGCACGGCCTGAAAGAAGAGCGGAAGCATGAAGAGGTACTATGGCGTAGCATGTCAGCAAAGATTTCAGTCTCAGGCGATCATCCGTGTAATAGACGAACCCCGTATGTTGACATGCCGGCGCAGATGTTGGCGATTTGCGTGGCAATGGGCATTGCTCCTTGAAGCATCCTCAACGGGATAATCGGCAAGGCGGTCGTCTTCCCCTCGACGCGGATGAAAATAACAAACAGCACGACACTGCCCAAAAGCGATCCGATCACCCAGGGACTTCCCCAAGGCAGCTCGTTTCCACCCAGACTCATGCCCAGCAACTGCGTCGAAACAGCCGCCACGAGGAGAAGAGCGCCAGAAAAGTCGACTCTCTTCCACACAGCACCAAACCCGCCTTCAGAGACAATTCCACGATGTTGGTTCTTGAGAACAAAGTATCCCGCACCAAACGCAAAGACGGAAACGGGTATCTGAAAGAGGAAACACCAGCGCCAACCAACCAAGTCGGCAATCGTGCCACCAAACGAAGCACCGCAGATTGCACCCATTCCCACGATTCCATTCTGCATAGCCTGATACATGCCTCTCTTTTTAAACGGTATCATGTCCGAGTTGATAATCGTGGCTATAATCAACGTCAGTCAGCATACGTAAGACGTGTAAGTGAAAGCAGCAAATCAATTTCCGCCTCACCCATAGTCATGAGTCCCGCTCCTCCAACCCCCGTCACAGCTCTCATACAATTCAACGCCAACATGCTTTTCGCCACGCCACACCCAAGACAACCCAGCGCGAAGAAGGTCGTAGCCACGAAGAAGCAAGCCCTTCGACCAAAAATGTCAGACACTCGCCCGTACAGCGGCTGGAACGCAGCAGAGGTAACGAGGTAAGACGTGGTCAGCCAGGAGGCGCTGTTGGCGGCGTCGAACTCGGAGCTGATGACGGCGTAGGTGGCGGCGGTGATGGTGCTGTCGAAGCCGTAGAGGAAGACGTTTGTCATGATGGCCAGCTGGATGGAGACGAAGCCCGCGGGGGGAGACCAGGATTCGTCGGGGGCGGAGAGGAGAGGCGTGTCTTCATGTTGTTGGGCTGGGGGAACTTGGCTTTCGATGTCGTCGGCTTGAGGTTGAGTGCTGTTGTTGGAAGTTTGTGAGGCTGAGGGAGACTTTGGTATAGGCGGCGGTGTGAATATTTGCGTTGATGAAGCCATGGTGGAGTTGGGCAAGTTGTGTCTGTTGTGAACGAGTTGAGAGAGTAGTCTTTTTTCACAATACTGTCGAGAAGAAGATGATGAAAGAGAAAAGAGTTGCAATTTTTTTTTTCTTACGGCAACGATATAAGTAAGTTGCAACCTCAAATCACATAATTGCCATCCACCAACCCCCGACAAGGATACTCATGCCGTGCATCCACCCCCCGTGATTCGACAGAATGCCCGCACCAAGCGCATTGCACCATCGCCTCGGCGGCTTCGTGATGCGGCAACCCCCCTGCACCGGTTTCCGATTCGGCTCACTCTCACTAGCTGCAATTAATAAGAGAAAAGAAAAATTAGATGGTTAGATTGAGATGGTTTGGAGATCGGCAAGTGAGTCAGAGCCGAGGGGCCGCTTATTCGGATGTCGTCGTGTTGGTGTGTGAGTTTCGTTTACTCGTATGGCACGGATTATGGTGTGGCTGTTGAGCACGCAATGAATGATTGGCATTGCAACCCCTTGAATACAAGTCTTCAATCGTATTCCTAATTGGACGTTATAATTCGCACTGCGTTACGAAATAAATGAAACTCCCCGTCAAAGTACACCATACTTGGCCGTCATTCCCCCCGTCAAAAGACTGCATGTCTCACACCTCATGCAAACCCTCAACCTCATCCCCAACACTCCACACCATCAAAACAACGACTCAAAAATAAAGCATCAATTCACATCCATGCCATCATCTCATATTTGGTATCTCATTTCTTCGCATCGGCCTGCATCCCGCTCTGCACCCACTTCCTCGTCCCCTCCGCCCTCTTCTCCAACTCCTCAGCACTCAGCTTGGCCAGATCAAACGCAACGTGCCGCGTGGGCACATGTCGACCCTTTTCGAAACCGGGCCGCTCGAGAAGCGTGTGCAGCCACTTGTCTAGGGCAGGGAACTCGTCCAGCGAGACGCCAGCCCAGGCTATATATCGCATTTTCATCCCCAATCAGCGCCAACGAAGACGAGAAAAAAAAAAGGGCAAAATAGATCCAAGTTGACAATGGTGAAGGAAAACTTACTGTGAGAAGAAACCCATCCCCAAGAGGCAATGTCGGCAATGGTGACGCGGTCGCCGACGAGGAAGCCAGAGGTGGACTTGGCCAGGTGGGTGTTCAAGACGGAGTAGAGGCGGCGAGTCTCGTTGGTGTAGCGGTTGATGCCATACTCGATCTTCTCAGGGGCATATCCTACACTCGCCTCGTAAGCAAAAACCCCATCAACGATGCTCACGTTGTGATGAAACTCACGGTTAAAGTGGTTTGCCTGTCCCTGCATAGGACCAAGGCCACCCATCTGGAAGTGCAGCTGCATCGTAACCGTCAGTCGCATAACATCTCAAAACGTTTACAGCCAGACAAAACTCACCCAGCTATTCACCTCCACGGTGTCCTTGGAGTCCTTGGGGTACGACACCTTGTGGTCCTTGTCATAGCGGTCCACGAGGTACTGCAGAATGGCGCCGCTCTCAAAGACGCGAATGTCCGATCCGTCGGTCCACTTGTCCGTGATGGCGGGGATGCGGCCATTGGGGTTGATTTTCAGGAACCAGTCCTCCTTCTGCTCATTGGCGCTCATGTCGATGGGGTGAACCTGTAGAATAGAACAGACCGGTAAGCATCAATGATCAAGACGCAATACAGTACACGTCCTCTGTGACATGAATGTCTCACCTTGTACTCCAGGCCCAGCTCCTCAAGCAGGATAGACACCTTGATGCCATTGGGCGTGGAGGCCGTGTAGAGCGTAATGTCAGTAGGGATACCCATCTTGTTGAATAATTGCCGTCCTAGCTGTGATATGCGAGCAGACATGTACTGTTGTATGGAGTCGAGATGAAACTACCTCGGCGGATGGCGGTCATAAGCAGGTAGCTATATATACTCCACGTCTTGATTCCTCCACGTCCTTTTGTTAGGCCCCAACCTGACTAAACCAGCAATGAGGTAATATCCTCGCAATAAGACGGACAGATGCTGGGCCCAAGTTGACCCGACCCCAGATTCGCTGGCACCCTCAAGTTCAAATTGCTTAGAAATCGTCCGTGTACGAGCTTGCACTTAACCCCACCCCAGAGGCCCGGATATAAGTCGTCAAAAAGCGGAGGTGTTGGATACTTAGTACTTCGGGACGCCCACATTGCAGCCATTGTTGGATGTAGTATTTTTCATTTCGCAAAAGAAGTGTGTCTGCTGAGAAAGCAGCGCATCCAATTGCTCATCAAGCGAGGTGGTTTGTCATGGTGGTGATGCTTGGAGGAAGATAGTAGGCCTATGGTATTGTGTAAGAGCTTACCATCCGACTCCCGTGCCGGCCGTCTTACTACATGTAGGTACATATCCACCAGGCCGAATATGAGGAGGTAATGCGTATTTCCTTGCAACTAAATGTATAAAAATTCAATGTTGAGGAATCATTTTCTCCGGGATGTTGTACTACACGTATAGCCTCCATCGGAAGCATCAACGGCAGTTGAAATGGTCCAAAGTAGTATATACCTCATACCCACGAGTCAGCCATGTTAAAACATTCAACTCCGGTCAACTCCATAAGCCAAAAATCCTTCGAATTGCATCATCACCAACATACTCTCGTCCTCACAAATTCACCGAAAATGGCAATATCCTCGGATCTATCCGAACCAACTCAAGGCAATCAATCTGAATAAAGTTGACGCCAAAGCAAAAGAATAGTAATCATGGTTCAATTAGCATAGCAGAGCGGACACAGTAAGCATCCAATTTCCATCTCAACCACTCCATCACAAACCTTCATACCCAGGCCAGTATACATAGAAATGATATTCATACATACAAAAGAGTACAAAACCTCCAAACTCCATCCCTATGTCACAATTTCACCACCACCGTCGTATTCACTCTCCAAGCCCAACAACGTGACACCCTCGCCACACAAAAATCCCACCAACAGAACAATCTTGTGATGCGTGAGGGGTAACGTGGTATTTCACCTCAACAATCACACACAACTCGTAAACCAAGAAAAAGGGGAGACCAGGTAGGTTTGTTCCATTCTTATGTTCATATTCATATTCAAATTTCTGCCCATGTTTGCAGATTGTTAAGTAGCTAAATATTGTGTGTGTCTCCATCTCAAAAAGTTTCCAGTGCGAAAAATCCCCTCGAAAAAAAAGGAAAAAATAACACAAACAACATTCCTTGGCCAGTTAAAAATGACGTAGAAACATCAACAGCTAAGTGTCATCAAGTCATGCCGCGTCCCTGCGCGCAGTTCGGTCGCGGCTCTATCCAAATGCTTTGGTAGTTCTGCTCTCTCCGCCGCTATTCAATCAATCAATCTCTCCTCCGAATCGCGTGCCCATAGTCTATAAAAGAGCGAATGGTATCCCTGGGCTTTGGTCATAACAGTGTAGTCCTCCAGAAAACGCCTTGTGGCACACTTCGAGGGACTGGGTCCCCAGCTTCATGTGCGCATGCAGATCAAACAAATCTCCCTCTCCACGCCAAGGTACAAAGAGTGAAGCTTCACTTCCAGTATCCTCGAGCGTCCAATCTCGATAGTTGTGGGAAATATAAAAAACGTCATTTCTTCCAAATATGGAGTCTCCAAAAGGGAAAACAAATAAACAAATTGATTGCCAATATCCGGCATACACGCTTGTAAATAAGGAAAAGGGGGGAAAGGCCATCATCCCGTATCATGGAAGCACACCAGTGCACTCCGCGTAATTGTGGTAGTCGTAAGATAGGTCGTCTCATCTCGTCGTATAGTGAAACCAGGAATAGAAACAAAAAGTAAAACGAAAGGTGATTTCTGGCATGGACAGCAAAAAGAAAAAGAAAAGGAAAAGGAAAAATAGTGCATGTAAACAATTCTGTTAATAGAAATCAGGGAAGTACTCGGAAAAGTACCAGGACCCCTGCGGTTGAGTTTTGTTGTTGTCAACAAGATATCGCTCAGCTAAAACCGAGAGGAGGTCGAACACAGGGAGGAACAGTAAAAGAAATATGAAATGAAGTATAAGAATGGAAGTCCAACGCCGTCATGCATAACTATATTCTTCACGTGGCTTCTGGCTGTGGTGGTAGTTGGTGTACTGGATGTCGTCGTATCCGTAAGCCTTGGACGTCTTGACCTTGGCAAAGTGAGCAGATCCCGCAGAGGCGGAATAGCTGCTGTCGCGGACTGGCATCGAAGGTCGGGCATCATTGTGGCCGGAAGAGTAGTAGGCATATCGATCCGGTTCCGGGTCGGCAGCGCGACGGCTATATGACGGCTGTCGGCTGCTCTCATATCCACTGGGGTATCGAGAGGTCTCGCCATATCCTGGATCGACGGACTGCTCCCTCCTGCTGCCGCGGTGTCTGCGGTCTCTGGCGCGTTGCTCACGAACATCGTCTGAATCGACGTCTTCCTCGTCGATTTGCGACTGGTAGCGCGTACGGTTCCGGCCGCGAGGGTCGGTTGCGTCTCCGTAATTGAAGGTTTGGGAGCGTATGGGCACGGCTCGTGGGTAGCTTGCCGTATCGGCAGGCATGGTGTGTGTCCTGGACAGGTGAGGGGGGGAGCCGGACGTGGCAGGGTGAGCGGCATGGCGGTTGTTGGGAGAGGCGCTCATGACGACGGGCTCGGCGAGGGGCTCCCTCGACGACTTGCTGTACCTATCTCTCGGGCGGTTGCTCTCCGTGGAGCCACGGCGAGGTCGCGCCGCTGAGCGACGAACATCATCGTCGTCGGGGGCCGCAAACGGGGACGTCTGGTTAGGAGCGGGCGGGGGAGTAGGAGCAGCGGGAGGCTGGTTCATCCGCGGCGCATAAGTCATGGACCGCTTAAGGCCACCAGGGCCAACCGCACCCTCTTTGGCTCGAGCCGCCTCGATATAAGAGGCAGCATCCTTGAGCTTACTGTGGGTGTCTTCCCAAGAAGACGATGGCTCTGGGGCTGGCGGCACAGTTCGCGGGGGCTGCTCCACGTACTTGCTGGTCGCATACTCTGAAAAGGAGCGAACGGCTGGGGGCTGGGGAGAGACGACGTGAATGTCTTCGCGCTGAGAAGAGCGATCGCGCTTCTCGTCATACTTCTTGCTCGACGACTTCTTCTTGTCGGATTTGGGAGCGGGAGCGGGAGCGGGAGCATCATCGCTGTAATCATCAACCACGTAGGGTGAAGGCTTGCTGTGTTTCTTCTTGTCTTCAGACTCGCGCTTGATGTCCTTGTCGCGCTGCTTCTCCTTTGCTCGCTTTTCCCGGCGGGCGTCTTTGGCCTCCTTGGCCTCCTTGGCCTCCTTCTCGCGACGAGCAGCGTCTTCCTTTTCGGCCTTCTTGCGGCGTTCTCGATCCTTTTCCTTTTCCCTGGCGTCGCGATCTCGCTCGCTCTCGCGCTTGGAGCGGCTGTCGACGTAGGTGGTTTCCCGTCTCGTGGTGCGAGACGAGCCAGTCTGGTATACTCGAGGGCTGAAGGTCACATCGTCTTCATAGGATCGCGGATACGGGTATCCCTTGGCGGCGGGTGGGGGGACGTTGGTGGACGGCTTGTAAGACGAGGCGCGAGGCTCGGCAGTGCGAATTTCATACTCGGCATACTTTGAACTTGATCGCGGGGTGCCGCCAACATTTGACTTGCGCAGCTGTTCCTTGAGCTCGGCCAGCTTCACCTGGTCGTCGTACTTTCGGCGTTCATCCTCGTCCGTCAGCAGCTCGTAGGCCTGCTGGACCTTTTGGAATTCCTCCTGCTTCTGCGCCTTGAGAGCAGGGTCTTGCACCTTGTCGGGGTGGCACTTGAGGACGAGCTTGCGATAGGCCAGACGAATTTCCGCTACTTGCGCATCTTTTGCGACACCGAGAACCTTGTAGTGATCCGGAGGGGGCGTAGAGCTCATGGTGGAGGAGAAGGGTCGGGAGGGGGTTGGGAGGGTTGACGATGGCGGATGAGGCTATTTCAAGTCTGGCTGTGGAAGCTTTGCCTTAGGCAGCTTGCATCGAAATCCGAGCAGGGGCGATTGAGGCTGCGGCAAGGTCCTCAACGTCTGCCAGACGCAACTGCGCAGGAGTAGTAGAAGAGGGTTTAAAAAGAAAGGCCTAAGGGGAGGCGAGCTGTGAGTTGAGGTTGTTCTTGTTCTTGTTCTTGTTCTTGTTCTTGTTCTTGAACAGACAGAACGGATGGATTGGGCGGGAGGCGGCGAATAACAAGAGCCCAGGCGCCGCAATGGAATGCCAGCCGCCGCTGATTTAAAAAGGAATGACGGCTTTCCAAGGACCAAAGCAAATGCAATGCAAGCAGAATCAGAAGGAAAGCGAAAAGGAAATCAGACGAGCGACGGGGTAAAACCGGGAGGCAGATGGTGGACAGATGCAACGAAGCACACACGGCTTGCAAAAAGGAATCAAGATCTGGGCCAGGTCCCTTTTTGGATTCCTCGCGGCCTGGAGGGGGACGGGGATCGTGTACCTTGTACCTGAAGGCGAGCAAAGTCGTGAGGTCACGGGCCTGAGCAGCGCTGCACGCGGTGATTCGTTATGGGCGGGAAAAGGTGGGCCAGGGGGGGAGGAGCTGCTGTGGGAGGGACGAGCACGTTGGCACGCACATGTAGCGAGTACAAGCGGCGGCACAGGTACTGGTACTGGGTACAGGGGACGGGGCAACAAGGTACGGGTACAGTGCAGGTCGGGCCTCGTACAGGTAGAGACTAGCGGGCGAGGGAAAAAAAGACGGAAGAGAAAAAAGGAGGGGGCGAGTCGAGTCAAGCGGCCTTTTTTTTTTTCTTGGTGCCTCAACTAGCCCAAGCAGAGCAGGATCCGTTTCTGCTAGCCGTGGACGAACGCTTGGCCTGAGG